CAGTTGGTCACGTCACCATTGCAGCTCAGCTGATCTGGCACGATAACACGGTTCTTCTCGTCACCACTTTGGCCGAGACGTTCAGAAGCAGCACGCCCATCAGCATCGCCATTGATCTTGCCATCGGTGATGTAGAACTGGCCGCCGTTGAGCCTCCCATACATATCGCCATGGCTAGCACGCTTCGAGGAGTGAGGGAAGGCAGGGGCAGCCTTCGAGAGGCTTGGTGGTGGGGTTTCGAGGTTGGCCCGAAAGGCTCTTGATCTCGGGAATTTTTGCCCTTCAGCGGGTCTTCTTTCGACCTCTGTGCTTGGGGGCACATGGCGGCCGTTATCAACATGACTGTTTTTAGCCCTTCGCGGGTCTTCTTTAGAATCCGTTGGATCCTCGAACACACTACTTGTACTACTGACCAGGTCGAGGGTCTGCAGAAACGCCGGGGCCGGGATGTAGAGCTGGTTGTCTCCATCGCCCGGCCACCCAAGGCGCCCAAGCTGAAAGCTGATACCATCCCCAGGGAGCTGTGCAGAGTGAAAATCATGCTCTGAGGAAAACCTCTTACCACAAGCAGCATGCAGAGTGTCATCAAAGCAATCATGCCCATTGTAGTAGTAAAACTCTTCGTCCAGAGTAGCCTCGCACAGGCTTTGAAAAACCTGTGTTGAAGCTTCATCGCAATCCCGGCCTGTCAGAGAGGGGAAGCCCGGCAACCCAAAACGCATGAGCAGTGGCTGCAAGGACTTGAAATCGCGCTCAGCAGCAGCACATGTGACATGCCGAAAATCATCATGTAAGAAGGCTGCAGTGACTTGCTCAACCGTCGGTCTGTATACAGCGTCACCATCATGAGAATGAAAATCATGCTCTGAGGTACCACTTGAAATATCACTTGTGCACTCAGCTCGCTGAAGGTTCGCATGAAGAAAAGCAGTGGTGACTTGCTCGGCTGTCGGGCCGTCCACTGCCTGCACCACGTCGTCGATGCACGTGTCATCGTGTTCGTCGTCGTCTCCCGTGGGACGGCCAAGGCCTTCCCGCTTCAGCTCATTGTAATCTTCTGGCTCCTGTGCCCACTTTGGCAAAATGCCAAAGGAGCCCTCGCAGAACCAAAGCATGCTAGGCATCACACCCCTAGCCTGCATGCAATGAAGATCACTTTCCGCCTGGCGCAGGCGTCGCTCTCTGCAATTCACGATGAAGCCCACCAAACTTTGAATGGTTCGCATGTCCCCACTTACACCAGAAAGGTGATCCCTGACATGACTGACATTCAACTTGGAGGCTCCAGAGGGCACGAGAGGTAGGCTCGGGCCGCTGTAGCAATCAAGGTGGGCCGCCATGGCCCGAAACTTCGCTCTTATGTGATAATCGTAGGTGGACGTGCCACCTGAAGAAGGAGCCATGGCTGGATCCCTCCCGGCCGCCAGCAATCTTAGCCGCCACTACCCTGGCGTTGCCCGCTTTGGAGCGCTTGGAGCTACTTGCTGAAGCCAAAGCTCTGTAATGCGAACTTTTGCGAGATCCGAAAGATTGCGCAACTCCTGATGGCGAACCGAAAGCAGTGTGGCATGCAATGGTATTGCTGTACCTGGAGGGACCGACTTGAACTGCAGAGATTCAGTCAAGTGATGCCTGAGATGTGGCCAGGCATCTGGCGCAATAGAATAATTCGTAGCTGCCGGGCTAAATAGATCGTGGTAGAAGCTATGCAACAAGGTTTTCATTGTCGGGAAAAGATGAGAGGCCCATAGCGCGAGCCCCAGAAACCTTTCAAGATCCTTCTTTGTAAGACGCGGATTTTTCTTCAAGTCTTGGACCATACCCAACAATTTTAGCCTTTTTGTGTCTTGCAACGAAACGATACCCGAAGAGAAACAGAAACTCCAAAATATACACTGAACCCTTTCGCTCATCTGAAGCTTCTTGCAGCTGAGGGGTATCCCCAGCACTTGAAGGAACAGGCAAATCATGGCGCCCGTAACGGGAAGGATGGATGCCAGCTGCGATATCAAGTAATCGTCCACAAACAGGTGACCCGTGTGACTGAAGTAAATCAGGATATGCAGCAATCGAAGAATACATGATCCTAATCTACCCCACCAGTGCTGTGCAAAGACTGCTCCAAAAGGAGCCACTCGGTAGAAGTAAAGTTCATTATCGAAAGAAAAGCCCAGAAGGCCTTGTTCGTTCTCCTTGACGACGCAGCGCTTGTGGGCGCTCTTCACATCAAGGGATATGGCGGCTTGTCTGCTACGGCTTTCCCGCAATGGGTAACTGTGCATCACATCACGGACAGACGGCATGTGCTGAACTTCCGGCACGCTGCAATTTGAGTTTGTACCACATACAGAATTGTCTAACACAAGTCTTTCGGCACGACCCGGTGCGCGCACAACTGACAGCTTACCTATAGCTAGACAACCTGGCCATTTCTTCTCCGCAGCAGATAAATCCCCGTCAAACTTATAGCAAAACCCTTGATCCAACTCTTCTTGCAAAAGTTTCTTTGTGACTGAGGGCTCAACCGATGCTGAGCGCCAATTCTGCATGTGGATTGACAACGGCATGTCTTCAAGGCTTTCCTTTTTGTTGCGCCAAAAGCAATTAGAGGCTGGGATGTCATTATAAAAGCCTGTAGGGATGCCTTCTTGTAGCGACTGGCACAAGCTGACATCGGGATCACCGCAAAAACATGCGAGTTTCTCCAAGACTTTCAATGCCAAAGGTTGATGTGCACGAGCGGCCCAAGTGCTGGAGTCTTCGGAAACCCCTAAAGCGGACAGAAAACCCTTGCGAACTGAGGCAACCTCTGATGCTGTGAAGAGAGGCGCAGGGCCCGGCCAGGCAGCTTTGGCAATCAAACGCTTATGCCCTTGCATACTATACACTTTATCAAGCAAGAATGTGCGAAGCGGTTTCAACTTATCCGGGCAGAGTGGGGCGCTCCAATCCCCACATGAGTGGCGACCAGCCCCATCGTGAACAACCCATGGACCCTCGTGTAACCCTTTCAACGGAACAAGAGCAGCCGCTGATTCCATGCTATGCTGAGTCCTGTTTTCAGTCAATAGGGGACGGATATGCAGCGCAAAGGTCTCAGCCAAACTTTGAGGGTATTTCGCGGTGCGTCGACTCAGAAATGAGCCATCAGATGAACGGCCTTGCATGACAACATGAGCGTTCTTACCATGTTGGCATGTTTGCCCCATGACAGATAATTTTTGATAGCTGGTGGCAAAAAGCCACGTCTTTGACCAGCCCACCCCAAATGCACAAGCTGGGAGCAAAACCAGAGCTGTGTAGCCTGAGTGTATCCAGCTTTGGACGCACGATTCCTCCCAGGACATAGCCCCAGAAGGCTGTTCGAGGTGGCCGTGACCACCCGAGGCATGAACCACTTGAATGCATTTGCAAGCTCTGGCGAGAATCTCATGACTCTCTTGCACACGTGATTGCTCTGCGGGTGACAAACCGAAAACCCCATCAAGCTGCTGTGGCGTTCTGATGGCGTATGGGGGACCTCCCGACAGCTTTAACCGAGAGTACTCGGCACAACACGGGGAGGCTGCGCAGTAGCCCACAATGCCAGATCCGCAAAGGAACAACAGTCTTTCATAGAACCCGTTGTCGAGCAAGTCCATACTGTTATCGAGCAGGATATCAACCGCTAAAGTCGAAAAACCAAGTTCGTGAACTGCGAGCGATAATGGCTGTTCGAGGCCCGAGCAAATGTCGAGGAAGATCCTGTAACTCGAAGGTTCTGGCAGCAGCTCTGCGGCCGTGTTCGGGGGGATTCTAGGGACAGTAGGCTGCACCTTTAAAGAATGATTCGCAAAACCGTGCGATGAAGCTCTACCCCAATTAATGAGTGCTTTGGTGTTATCCGGCTCTGGGCTCGATTCGGCTGTTTTCATGTTTGTGGCAGGGCCGATTGTCTTCGCTTGCGTACTGTGTTGAGGCATGAATGACTCGGATTTCGCGCAAGCCGTACCATCGGTGGCCTGTAACTCCCTAGAAGATTCACACTCGCCTGATGGGAACCCCAGGGCCTAATGACATCATGTGAAACATCAGGTAAAGTGAATGCCGTCAAGACCCACCTATCACCTAGCCAAGGCCGTGTGCAATGCCAAAGGTGTGATGGAAACTTCAAAGGGGCGTGATGAGTGTTGACAATTTTGCCAACGACTTCGGAGCATAGCTGCGGGATGTACTGATTAGTGGCGCCGGATGGATCCTCAAGCCAGATACCTCCTGAAGTGTACGAACCAATGCCCACTGTGAGATTTGAGGACCCTGCCACATTCGGTGTATCCTGATGAGGCGATGTCAGGATGTTTCTGCTGACGCATAGAGTGTTCCAAGATTCGCCAGGAAACAGCTGACGCAGGAATTTGTTCAAATCACGGCACAACTCCGGCAGCGCTTTGGAAACTGCAGTCAAGCAATGTCTAGAACTAATCTGAACCCCAAAATTCCAGTATCCCGAATCTTCCGAAATCGAAGTAGTTCCAGGGCGATTGGGGCCCACACGCGGAGGCCAAGCGGCATCTTTCAAGGCTGCGTAACACGAGCTATAATCATGAATGCAGGGGACACCTGTTGATGCGACGTGCGTGACATCAGTTCCTGCAGCTTGCACAGCTGTAGCAGAGGAGGCCACACCTGGGGCCGACATCGACAGCACACCCTCTGTTGATCGATCATGATCAACTCGCGAGCCCAACACGGGCTCAGGGGAACCTGCCCTCCCCGACACCAACGATGCAGCATGCACAGATGCGGATGCATTCCGCGAGACAGCAGACCGGCCAATTTGGCCTACAGATTGCTGGGAACAGCCAACACTGGACACTGGCAAAATGCCACCTGAAACCGGAGTAAAGTGAACCCCGGGTGAAACAGAGGACCCAACAGCTGAGGTGGGGTCCAAGCTGGGTTGGGGGCAGGGCTTCAAGGATCAGTGCGGAGTTTGTTCATGTTGCAGAGCCGTGTGGCTCTTACTCCCACAGGCGCTCCCGTCCTGACGCGGGTAGGCACAGGCATGGATCCAGGGACACCCCGAACCCCGCGAGCAGCGACCCATTTGCCACTGCACACACAATCCCTTGCGCTCAGATCCCACCTGGATCTCCTTCACAAAGCTGATGTGGCGACCGGGCGCATTTGCATCCCTGCCTTTACCAGCCCCTGGACCTTTCTCCTTACCCTTACCCTTGCCTGTATTCTTGCCTCCGCCTGAAGCAAATGCAGTGGCCATCAGCTTACCCAACTTGCCCTTACCCTTGGTTTCCAAACCTTTCACCTGTGCGGGTTTGGGGCGAGCCTGCAACAGAGTACTCAACTCACCTCTGACCTCCGTATACTCATGGAGCGCATCGTTCAGTGTCCATCCTTTGTCACTGACCAACGCATAAATACACTGCCACATCCTACAGTCGGCCTGCTGAGCCTCCGATATGCTAGGTGGCCGAAGGCCGGATGCGGGATCAAAGCGCTGTGACAGCAGATGCACAAACTTAGAGCTATGCGCTTTGAGGCGTGCAAGATGGGCTGAGCCAACCATAGCCAGGGCCGTATCATGCACGGCAAGGATCCGTTGCACACCGCTAACCCCCATGGTGCCGTCACTAATCTCGATGGATGGTGGTTCGTCCAGAATGAGACTGGACAATCCTAACATTTCCAACCGGGGCTGTTTGGCTGGGCGGGAGATGAGCAACTCGGAGGCCCTCTCATCTGACATGCGAAGCTTCCATGGTATCCACTTGTACTCATGTTTAGCTTCCTGGTGAGCTGCCAATGATAACAACCGCAATGATGGCAGTGTTGATGGCGTAAGAATCTCACTCGGATAGGATTTGAGAAACTGCTGCTTCAGCTCAGACAACTTTGATGATGACATCTTTGGAGCAAAGCTTTCAACCCAGCTCCCGTCAGCAGCCGAGGATGCGACCGTCGTCGAGGGAGAAATTGATGCTGCTGGTGCTTGCATGCTGGCCCAAACCGCTCGAATCTGCGATTTTTGCAGTCTAGTCAGAACAACACCCGGAAAAATTTCATCCAGGATGGCTTCCAACTCCGTTTGGGTCTCAACTGAATTCTTGAAAGCCGAGGCCGTCCACCCACCATCGATGGCAACTTGAATGACGTCCTCGGGGAGCCCCTCAAAGGTCAGGGCAGCCTTGAGATCATCGGCCATCGGAGGGACACAAGACAGACAGTACTGCCTAAACAATACCGCTAGAGGATGAAACGGTGTGAAACAGTGTGAAACGACACGTGATTTCAGTCCCTGCTGCGCGCGGCGAGGAACAGCCCATGCACGTGTGATTTTTACCGATAGTTCAGCATGCAAGCGGACAACAGCTCACCGACAGCATGTTTCATGACGTGCTGTACAGAGATCATTCGCCCCTCCCCTTTTTTCATAACCCCGTACGGCTCATAACATCATTCCATGGTGGACAGCGCTAGCAAACAGGCACTCCTACGGCACAATCTGCTTGAGGATGGGACAAATGTGTGAATGCGTAACCTGTCAGAGCAAAGTGGGGCACCACAAATCGCACGCACGTACTGTCCCTGAACGAAGATGCCGTCACCCTCAGAGCATGGCGATAGCACATGCAGAATACCGGTTGTGGAGCCGAGGAGAAACTCTTCAGCAGTGCCCAACGACTCAACCGTGTCGTCACACTGGTCTTCATCCTCATCCTCCGAGCTACCAGGATCTGATTGATACCCAGTTGTTTGATCGGGCTCTGGCCCTGAATCCGAAGAAGCAGGCAGCTCCGGAAACTCCCAAGACTGATCACTGCCCTGCAAGGAGCCGCCCGATGCATCAAGCAGGAAATTGAACCACAAGAAGGGCTATGAGGTTTAACAGGCATCTGGCCCCCCCGGTGAAGAGGAACCACAAATTCGAAACCTTGGCGGGCGCTGTCCCGAATGCTTGTTTGGCATCTAATCATACCGTGGATGTCATCACGACTATACAATTCAGAGCTTGTAACCCGATGGTGTCCTTGGCGACGCCTGTCAGTCTCCGGGACATCTATTTGAAGACCCATGGAGAGCAAAGTGGCTTTCAAGCTGTGTATCGTGAAATTCAACTCCGGAACCTCTGGGGGCGATGACGACCATGGCATTGTAATGTAGTGCCTAAGCAGCTTCAAAGCCTGAGCGTAACACATTGGCTCCAGAGGCAGGGCGAAACCGTCCGAGTCCAGAGCTGGTAACATAAAAGATGGGGCGTCTGCCTCGGGAAACTCCTGCTGGTGCCGATATGCCAGCTTGTCAAGCGCGTGCAAATATTTACTCATCCAGGTGTGCGTGCCTCGCGACAGAATGCCTGAAGCAAGAAGCCCCCAGGGTTGTCCCGTGGAGCAGGTTTTTGTTTGGTAACAAGTGCCCCTCAAAGTGTGTAAATCAAACACCAAACTTGACCACTCTACTCGCTGCATGTCGGCGAAGCGCAGTGATGCCCACACTGCACATAAGAAAGCGCCTAGCACTATGATTTCTTGAATGCTGGACTGCCGCATAAGGATCCGTCTCTCCCAAAGTTGGATAACGAATAGCGGTAGCGGGAAGCTCTCCCGACGCTCCGATGGAATCTTTGTCTTCAGAAATGAATCAATGACTTTGTCATAAGCGCAACGAAGAAACTCAGCTTGGCCAATCCTGCATAGCCACCGCAGAGCTTTTATAGTCATATGCGTACCCGCTCCCAGCGTCGGATCACCGTGCTTCTCAAGAGTCATTGTAACCAGAATATCAGCCATGACTACCCCGTCGAGAAGCTCAAGCGTATACCCGAGCCCTTCAAGATTCACCAAGAAATGAGACCATGCCGACAAATAGCGAAGCACAGTGTTCACTGAGAATCCTGCCAGGATCCGCTGGATATGCGCATCCGAATGTATGGAATTTGCCAACTGCTGGTACAGAGCACTAGACGCTCCTAGCACTTCAAGAGCAGACCAGAAAAGTGAGAGCGCAACCATGCTGTAGCCTGCATTGTGTCTGTATTTCGGAGGAATAGCAGAAGAAGCACTGCCTCGACTCTTCTGTGTGGCACGCGATACACCAGCAAGATCTGCAGAAAGAGTGCGCTTCAAACCCGAAGAAGAAATCCCCAGTTGAAGTGAACCTGAAGCCTTCGAAGTGGCGCCGACACTCACAGAGGGTCTAGGCTGAGGCACAAAAGCTGGCACTTCTGTCGGGGGCCCTGCAGCAGGCAGAGGCTCCGGGACACGCACAGTAGACAATCCCGGCAAGGCCAGGCCTGAAGGCGGTAGGGGAGGAGCTTTAGGGGAGCACTTCGGTGCAGGTACCGGCAGAGGTGTCCCACACGGCAAGGGAGGTGCAGAGGCTTTAGTCTTCGAAAAAGCTTTATGATCAGGCGCAACAGGTGGTTGCATGGCCCCTGCAGATGACACTCACGCACAGATGCTTTCACAGACCCGCTACTTCAAGAGCGGCCACTCTACGTGCAAGCAAAGAATAGTTCTGCTGACTCTCCCTAAGAGCGCGCACCAAATGAATGTTTGATCTCTCCAGACGTCTGGTTTCCCGTTCAAGGCGGGACACACGCAAAAGTGCCCTCTCAACAGAGGTAATACGCAGCTGGATTGCAGTGATAGAATTCTCGACGATCCCTACCCGACGTTGCAGCTCCAGCTGAGCCACTTCAAGGCTCAAGACCCTTGCAGCCCACGCGTGGGACTGAGGCTCCGGTGCCGGGCCAGCTTCCATCCACCTCACTTTGGAGGCGCCCGCTCCCACCCGGGCGAGAACTACTGCAAAACTACAGTTTCTGCAAGTTGTCGTGAAAAAGTTGTTGTGAAAAACTGCTCAAAAGACGTTCCTGTGGAAAAATGTCTGCAACACCATGATATGAACAACCAAAAACAAAAGTGACATCATGCTAGCATGCACAACTATGAGCCAAAATGGCTACGAAAACATAGTTTATAAAACATACGTGAAACAAGTACACGATACGAAATGTCCAAACCCCAAACCCGCATACGGCCCTTCGCGGCTCTCGAAAGTATGAGCTTGAGTGCCTCCACACTCGCGGTGTTCGAGGAGAGGCCAAGATCAAGGGCAGAAGGCCTGCCGTGCGCGAAGTCTTTCGCCACGAGGCGTGCCCTGACAAGCCCTGGGGCTTTCTGCGTCAGCACCCACCGTGACTTTATCACGCGGCACCCTGGGTTCTCTTCCTGGTAGCGATCAACCTCAGACCTGGAACGAAGGAGGCCGACTTGCAAAGAGTCGACGGCCTTGACCTCAGTCTTCATTCCTTCCCAGCTCTCTTTGTTGTCTAGCTGAATTCCATCGACGTCGTCGTAGGAACTCCGAGGCCTAGAGACCCAAACCCAGCGATCCCCAATGGGCATATATGTGCCCTCTTTCTCTTGATCTTGATCATTGCAAGCAGGCAGGTCCGACCGACCAACCGACCGACCAACCGACATGCTCACGCCCGACCGACCAACCGACACGCTGTCGCCACTCGACCGACCAACTGGCACGCTCAAGCCCGACCGACCAACGTCATGCTCCACACGCTCATGCTCAAGCAACGCAATGCAAGAGTACGGCAACTTATCGCAAGAGGAGCGGCCGTCGACAAGCAACGAGCAAAACGCTTGCAAATCATACACATCACACGCGGTCAAGGGAGTGGGAACGTAGCGGACGCAGCCGCAGGCCCACATTTCCTCCAATAACCGAATCGCGGGGCGATCATCCTTCGGTACCTCGGCGACACCCATCAGATCATCTTCTCCCTCGTCCTCGGAGGGCAACGAGGGCTCGTAGTCACTAAGATGGTCGTTGGCCTCCGCACTGATCTGTGGTACTTCTACTTCTTGCTCTGAGGGCGCCGAGGGCGCCGGAAACTCACGAACTTCCGAATCACCGAATCGAACCCGCTTGGCCGGTGGGCCTTGAGCGGGCGGAGGGTCCCGACCAAGCTCTTCAAGAGCGTTGTCCACAGCATCTCGGAGCCATCGCTGGTAGCGCCGGACGCACTTTATTGAATGGCGAGAGGACGTGGCCTCTTCGGAGCATCCGGGGCACTTAGGGGTGCCACCGTTCTCGCGGATCCATTCTTTGGAGGGTCCCCCTCCCGGCACATAGGGAAGGTGGAGCTCGCGAAAGCGCTCCTCATCCAAAGGTGGCACAAAGCCTTCCAGAGGCCTGGCACCGTCAAGCAACGAAGCATCGTATCGAAGAGGGTAGAGCAACTTCAGACCCGGCGCAACAATCAACTTGGTTTCTCCAGAATCCAGCCGGATACGCACCTGGTGCCCGGTAGAACCAAGCACAGGACCCAGGTACACCCCGCGGGCATACTTGGTATCAACCTCCTCTTTGCTAGAACGGCTGACCTTTGCGAAAACGACAGCCCCGAAGGGATAGGTCAACTGGGGCTTGTGGTCGTGGCCCCGCAGCTTCTGCAAAGGAGACATGGTGTTCCCGACCGACACTGCAAATCGATTGTGCACGTGTGCCGCGTATCTAAAAAGAAACTCTAAAGTACCCGGATCATCTCCGAGGACAACACCATTTTCACGGAGTTGTAATTCGTGAGAAGACACAATCCCTTTCAAGGTTCGCACTGCTCGTTCAGCAACGGGAGCGTGGCGCTCCGGAGCAAAACTTTCACTGTGTCCCTCATACCGTTCCGCTAGGGCCTGTGCAATGCTGATGGTCAGCGGTTCCGGATCTGAGTAGAAGGAGGGCTTAGGAGCAGCGCTCTGGCCTAACCCAAAATGAGCTAGCCACGGCTCGAGATGCCCGGCTGATTCGCGTCCACTCATCCCTTCTGGTCGGAACGTCACTCCAATCGCAAAAGCAAGCACATGCACCAGAATAATAAAGCACCGAGAGCGATACATGAACTGCTCTACCTGATACTCTTTATCGGGTCTGTCACTTCGCATGCGGGCTGGCGTCAGCCCTCGGCTTCTGTTGCAAGCTTCACAGCTCGCCCAGTATGGCACGTGACCCTGAGAGACATGTGACAGGCGCTTGTGCAGCTCACGGCGTGTCTCCGGATCTTGTGACATGATCAGCTCTCCCTGCCCTGCTGCTAAACCCAAACCGGCCGGACCCTCTGGTTGCGTATTGGGCTCCTTGTTGTGATTCTTCTGGTTGAGGGGGTCCTCTTCCTGCAACGGGGCAACAACAGCAGCGGAACTGAAAACTGGGCATGGCTGACCGCAGAACTCACACGAAGCGTGCACTCTAGAATGTTTCCATGCATGCTGGTGCGTTGGCAAAGCAAAAAGGCCATTATTCATGGCGTCGGGCTTCGAAAGCTGTGAGACGATTACGGGGTCGGGCTGCGAGAAGATCTCCTTGGCGGAAGTGGCGGCGGGTTGATAACCCACATTCCCGATGGAGGTGCCGGTGGTGGTGCCAATGGTGGCCCCAGAACGCTCCCCGTTGGGCTTGAAGTAGGCCGGCTCACGGTAGGAGCAGGAGGCGGGATCGGCAATGCGGTGCGCGGACGCACTCGCCGAGATTCTGTGGCCATCTCCGCTGCAATCCTCCAGGAGTCTGCTTCTGCCTCCGTACAGATCCCGAGCCTCATCCTCGTGTGTAAGCTCTCGCCGCTGTGCGAACTCAGCACTGCACCCGGAGGTGGGTAGCTGCGCGGCACCCACGAATATGTTGGTGGAGCCGAAACCGGTGGTGGCGGAGGTGCCGGAGGCGGCACACTCGGCGACACATTGGGTGGCGATGGCGCTTCTTGCTCCATCCCTGTGTCCTCGGCCATCTCGGTGTCCTCCTCCGCAGGTGCCTCCAATGGCGCCGTCTTGGGCGGCGTCTTGGGCATCATAGACCCGACGAGCCCCTTCGGATCCACTTGGGTGGTGTCTTTGGCTGCAGATCCCCGCGGCCAGCCTGAGCTGGCTTCCAGCCACCCCAGTTCTCCGAGTCCGTAGGCGAATTCGGAGGCGTCCACCCTGGTGGTGTCTTGACAGGTGAGGTGAAAACGGCCTGGGCTGCTACTCCCTCGCTCAGTGGAGTTAATGCCCGCGCTCCCTCCAGTTGTTGGGTCGAGCGCTGCTGGACTCCCAGAGTGTCTGGCCAAGGCCGCCCCCTGGCCTTCACCCGTCGTGTCTCTGGCTCCGTTGGAAGCACACGGCGTTCCACTGCTCGCGGAGGCTCTGATGGTTCCGCCCAGACTCCCGGAAGTGCATTGCTGGATTTGGCTGTGGCTTCCGAGTTGTCCTCTGGCGGCAAAGTTGAGGCTCCCGCCTTCGCCGGTTGGTTGCTGAACCAAGCCAGTCGGAGAACTAGCTCCCTCGCCTTCTTGATCTCGGGCTCGGCCAAGTCCGGCATACGAAGCTGGATCATCATATCGATCCTTTCGGGATCGGAAAGCCTGTCCGGTAGAAGCCTCAAACCAGGGCGGTTCCTGGCGATCCACGACTTCATGTGGTGATTGTGGCTGTCGGACATTAAATGAGCCTCCGTCGCGTGTTTCGCGCAGACCATGCAGTACTCGCAGTAGTTGCGGCTGTTGTGGCTCAGGGCCTGAGGGCTTGACCACTTCCCCTCTGGGGCAATATAAGGAGGGGTCCAACTGAAGCTGTTGACCCGGTCCGCGAGGCTCACCCCAGTCGCCTTTGGGGCAGGTGGCCCCCCTACCTCCTCGTCGGAGGATATCTCCATTGCTTCCGCCCGGCCTGTCCAGCCCTTCTTCGCACTGGCCTTCATCAGCTAAACCCTTAAGGCTCAAGCTTGTGCCTTGGCGATCTGCGGAAACCCTCTGTTCACCTACACTGTCGCTCGAACTGCACACACCGTCATGCACAACCGACCGACCAACCAACCGACCATGCACGCCAAGCAAACGCTCTTCAGAATCACTGCACGCAGGTTGCACTACAGAAACTGGCTGCACTGAAGATTCACTAAAACCCGGCTGCACCCACTGGCCTCGATCGGAAGATGTGGTCCCCGAGCGCAAAGGTGAAGAAGATGGATCCACGGCACTCGATTGCAAAAGCTTTACCACTCTAGCAGGCAACTGACCTACCAACTGCACTCCAGGGCTGCCGCAAGACGATTGACCTACCAACTGCACTCCTGAGCTGCCGCAAGACGACTGACCTACCAACTGCACTCCTGAGCTGCCGCAAGACGACTGACCTACCAACTGCACTCCTGAGCTGCCGCAAGACGACTGACCTACCAACTGCCCAACAGAGTCCTCGCAAGCATGTGGCAAAACACTCGGTTCAACATGCGCTGTTTCATGCTGTTGTCGTGAAAAATCATGCCCATGCTGTGAAAAATCAAGCTCATCGTGCGAAAACTCATGCTCATGCTGTTTCTCAGGTGAGGAAAACTCAAGAGACCTACCACTCGACAGACCGCAAGACGACGAGACACTCGCAAGCGTGAGCTTCGCGGAAGAATCAGCCATCACACTCTGAAGCCATGTGCAGTCGCCGAACACTGCTGGAAGCAGCGTCACCTCCTTACGTTCCGCTGTTAAGAGACCCCGGTAAAGGGTAGGCTTCCAGCCTCTCCAACAGAGGAGGTTGAGGTTTATCAGGTTGTGTTTGATTTCGCTGCTAACTACCGCTTCTAGACGACAGGTGCACGCAAAGGTGCTCAGAACTCCTCCTCGCTGCTCAAAATGTCGAGTGGTGAGAAAATTCACCTCGATCGTCGCGTGGGTGTCGCTTCCCACTTCCACCAGGTCGCCAGTGGCAGTCTGGCACACAGTCTTCGGTCGCTTCTTTCTCGACAAAACCTTGACGTGTCCACTCTCAAGCGTCGCCTGGGAAACCACATGGTACGAGCTCCCAGAGTCGAGAAGCCAATAGATCTTCTCTCCCGACTCAACGAAGGAAGGTGCGACTATGGGCATCGCAAAGTATGCTCCCTCAAGGAACGTTCTGACGCCCTTCTCTGTTCCCTTCCCAACGTCGCCCTTCGTAGTGGGCTGGTTGCTCGGCGCCTTCGGCGCAGCCTTGGCAGCTGCAGCGCTCCCCGAACTCTCCGCAGCGCCTGTCGTCACAGTGGCGTTGGCCTCGTGGGGGGAAACCGCAGCAGCTTGCTTCAGCCAACAGTCGCGGGCCCAATGTCCCTTCTTCCCGCAGTTGTGGCAAACGTCGGTCTTCTTGGCCTTGCTCTTGGCACGTGCAGCTGAACCCTTTCCGGGCTTCTCCTTCTCCTTGTTGCCCTTGTCTGCTCGCTCTCCTTTGCCCTTTCCTTTGTCTTTACCTTTCCCTTTGTCTCCTTTGCCCTTCTTGCCTTTGTCGCCTTTCCCTTTTTCACCCTTGTCGCCTTTTCCAGCACCGAACGCGTTCAGATAGCCGTGGTGGTGCTCCTTCTGGAAGTTTAGCACTCGAAGCTGCTCGTCGTAAAACTGCAGCCCTTGCAACATTGCATCCAGACCGCTGGTGGTCTGGTGCAACAAAAGGTACTTCTTCGCGTCCTCGTCCAGGTGCTTCAAGACTCCCAGAACAGCTTCTTGCTCGTGGACCTTAAGCTCAGGGTACTTCTTGCCAACCTGAGACTCAAACTTCATGAGCTCAGTCATGTACCACCTCATCACATCAAGTGGTCGCTTGAGGTGCTTGGGAGGGTGAAGATTGATCATCTGCTCCCTCAGCGCTTGGCCCTCCACCCTCGAACGGACCGAGAGTCTCGGTTGAGCAGGCGCCAGAACTCGTATCCAGCACTTGCTCCTTTCTGAGCAACCTCGATCAGGTGGATGAGGTCCTGGGCCCTTTGAAACTTGCTCAAACTCTGGCGTAGCAAGAACCAAAGCTTGCTGGACCGCGCTGCCTTTCCGACGTCCAACGTACTCTGCTGAACTGGGACGGCGCTCTGCTCTGACTCGTCCAGCTCTTCTGCGAACCGGTCGTCAAGCAAACAGAGCCAGCTGGTGAGCTCCTCCTTGTAAGCACTCCAAACCCGAATCTCAGCATGCCTCGTGTTCATTGAGGCAAAGTTCAACTGAGGCAGAGTCGGAATGTAGCTTTCTGCCCTTCTAGAGCGGATTCCCGTGTCAACTTCCATTGGCGCGGGACCAGAGGTGTCACCCGAAGAGCTTGCAGGCGCGGTCGCAGCTGCACTGGCACTTGTCTGGCCGGCGTTCTGGACACCAAGCACTGCCAGGTCCTTCACCAGGTTAGTGAGCTGCTGCACTTGGGCCGCTTGAGCCCTGATCTGCTCGTCCTGGGCCTGCATCATCTGCCGAAACAGATTCACAGTGTTGTCGTCAAGGCTTCCAGGGTTCACTGGCAACTGTTGAGGCACAGTTGGTGTAGGAGGCTGTTGTGGTGGCGTTCCCAAACTGAAGTACTGCGTCTGGTGCGCAGCCTGTGCTGTCGGCGACTTCTCGCACGCACTCGTGGCACTGAACCAGACCTTGCAGGGAACTCAAACGACTAGCTCTCCCACTCGAGTCACGGCTCCTCCCTCTCGGAGAGCGGTCTCTCCCTGCTGCACCACCTGCACCATGGCTTGCTCCGCCACCACGTTACTGTATTTCCGAGGGACCTCTAGGGAACCTTCGGGGCCTTTGGACCTCTCACACACAGCACTCAGACAGAGCGGGACGCTCCACACTTTTCACTCTGCTGTTCTTCAGCAGTCCGAGTCTTGAGCTAAGCCCGGCACGGCGGAGGCTTCAGTGCACAGCTCTCTGGACTTCAAACATCATAGCTGTAGCACTAACAGCAAACTTGAGCTGCAGCTCTCTAAACACTAGAACTGGCTCCTGATGCCTCTTAGGCATCACGCTGAAGCTCTGGCGAAAGCAAACAACCTGAGACTCTTCACAAACACTCCAAGCGTCCACAAAGCACTCTGGTGGGCCGGACGACAGAGCCTTGTTTTGCATATCATGTACGATTTTTTTTGGTATGGGTGAAAGCTTGGAACGAAACCATTTCGCATGTTTTCAAAATTTGTTTTGTCGGTTTGTTGGTCGGTTGGCGGTACTGTGCAAGGTTTTCCAAAGCAAGTCTAAGTGCTTCAAATCAACAACTGGGAACCTTAGAAGGTCACACAAATCAACTCGACACGGCAATGAATCGAATCCATATGGCTCCCGCACACGGTTGCTGGCTCAGTGCAAGCCATGCGTACTGTAATCCCGACGATCGACCAGTAGTGGATGGAGCGAAGCGCACTGTATTGCCTTTTCGGGGAAGGCACTCTTTCTCCCTTTACAGACCATCGTTCGTACAACTTCTCTCATTGGACATAGGTATGATGAAGGACAGTGGAGCTCCGAATGCCACCAATGAGAAAGAGAGGCAATGATCAATGGGTCCGTAGACCGCGTGCGCCGGCTCTATCGATAATGCAGATTCGACCACTTCCGTAGTGCTTGCACACCGTGTGGTTACGGTCAACAAAGGCCGTTGTGATGATCGAAGAAGAAGAAAACAGTTCCTTCTCCTCTACCAGAGGCGGAAGTTTTGGCAACCAGTTCGAAATAAACTCCGCAAATGATGTGGCTCAGCTACTACCCGGTGCGCGTCACCAGTGTTGGCGTTGGCAAAACGCGCGTTGCTAAAGCCTACCAAAAAACCCGTAGCAGGTGTGGCGACCGTGATTTTTTTCGTAGAGCAATTCCACAAAGCCTTCAGGGTGCATGGCCGAATGTACAGCAAACAAGGCATCTGAGCCGGCTTGTGCTGTAGAACCATGTCTACACACGTTTTGCACTCAGGTTTCATAAAAGAACAACTAGTACCGTACGGAGACTACTTTTTTATCAGTCTCGAACAATTGCTTCTGAGTTCGAGTGAGACCAGGCCGTTGTTGCATTTCTTGCGCATTCTTTTTGTCTTTACCCAGTGCAACTTCAATCTTCTCGGGAAATGGAATCCAGATCAAAATCCAGGTCCAAAACTGTTTCTTTCTTTCAGGTTAGGTTTGGAACGGATTGAACCTAGATTCTGGAACCTGAACTTCCTTCATGTCTCTTCCTCTTTGACAAAAAGAAGACAGAGAGGAGTTCAACGGGCTTAAAAGGGAAACTTTAAGGGAGCATTGCAGTTGACCTTCAAGGAAGCTGTTTTTCGCCAGGTCGCAGCTGCTTCCGTTGACATACTGTCATTGGGATTGCAAGCATGCAAACCGGATTTGCGGTCTGGTAGCACAAACGTGGTGGTACTCTGAGTGTCCTACGTTTTTGTTGTTTTTCCTCCCGGGCCCGAAAATGGGGCTTCGAAAAGCTCAGTCGAACGTGTGGCAGGTAGGCGAACCCCTGACGGAGTTTTCAGGCCTGAGAGCAAGTGTGGAGGGACTTGGCAAGGCTGCGGTGCATGAATAGTAGACGCCTTCAAATAGTGCCCGAATAGTGCCCGAATAGTGCCCGAAATAGTGCCCGAACCAGTGCCCGAATGAACCCTTCATAGTGCCCAAATGATTTTTCGCGAAGAAAAAGGATTTTCCTTCCTTTACGAAAGCAAATGTATTTGGGCACTATGAAGGGTTCATTCGGGCACTATTTCGGGCACTATTTCGGGCACTATTCGGGCACTATTCGGGCACTATTCGGGCACTATGCCAGGTGGAGGCTTGGGCGGCATTATCTGGAGGGCTAAGGGTTGGGAGGCTTGCAGGACTACCAAAACACTGGAAATGCGCACGAAGAATAGGAATTTGTGCTGCAGGAGGCATTGGGGAGTGATCTGCGGGGCAGGGTTTGGAATGCAAAAGGGGGGGTTTAGGGAAGGATCTGCAGAGTTTAGGGTAGGATCTGCAAGGCAGGATTTGGGGAATTTGGGGGAGGGTCCGCAAGCAAGCGTTTGGAGGAGCATACACGAAAAACATGAGGGGTGGCATGTGCAAAAAATTGTAGGGTAGTCTATCTACAAGTTTACGGGGGCCTTGGCCATGCTAGGGTTTAGGGAAAGATCAGGCAGGACTTCGGGGAGGATCTATAACGAGACTTTATGAAGGAGTTATGGTTTTTATCGAGTGCAGCAGCAGTCAGTCATTGACAGTCTTCTTGTTTGCATATTCATAAACCTCCCCCCCGCCCCCTCAATTTCAATGTGTGCCGCAATGTGTGCCGCAATGCTCATTGGGCGCTTCTATGTAAACATTGAATTTGGGGGGAGCGGGGGGTCTGGAAGGTTTCAAGATTTGTGGACAAACAATTCCAAAATTGACTATCGCGCGAGGCCATTTTCAGTGTTCGAAAAACCACGAAAACTGTAGGACGCATTAAGGTACCCCCATAGTCAATTGCCGCCTTGCTTGCCATGCTGTGGTGTTTATGACAAGTAGTTGTCATGACATCATGGTCAACAGTCTCAAGCTGACCACGCACAGACCCCGTGCATAGCTACAAGGTTGTTTTTCGAGCAAAGTTCCAATCCAATTGGGAGCGTCTTTGTCCAAAGGTTTTCGATCCATTCTAGAGCCCATTTTCGAGCTCCAAAAACGAAGCCCAAAATGGGGTCTCCCCTAATAGTTTCCAATCAGGCGGTCTCAGCTTTGGGAACCAATTTTTGGCTTCAAAATGGGGACCAACCCGAGCTCGAAAACTGCGGAATTCTGCGAGGGAGACGTGTTTGAAGCTTTACCAAAGTTTTGCCCGACATGCGGCGACCAGTGTCGCGAGCGACCGCGTCTGTTGAAATCAATCAAAACGCTCCGTTGCTACCCTGGTGATTGGGCTTGTGCTGCTTAAGCACCGTTGTTTGCCACTGTAACTGTGGGGGTACTCTGATGTGTCCTACGTTTTTTGTTGTTTTCCGGGCCCCGAAAATGGGCTCGTAAAGCTCGTCGAAAGTGTGGCAGGGTAGGGAAGCCCTGGACGGAGGTTTTCAGGCCTGGAGAAGTGTTGGGAGGGACTTGGCAAGGCTGCGGTGCATGAATAGTAGACGCCTTCAAATAGTGCCCGAATAGTGCCCGAATAGTGCCCGAAATAGTGCCCGAACTAGTGCCCGAATGAACCCTTCATAGTGCCCAAATGATTTTTCGCGAAGAAAAAGGAGATTTTCCTTCCTTTACGAAAGGAAATGTATTTGGGCACTATGAAGGTTTCATTCGGGCACT